CGAAAACGCGCGCGATTCCTTCTCCATGCTCCTCTCAGCTTCACTGCTCATTTGCGCGCTCGACAGACAAAATCTCTAGCTAGGCAGGCTGCCCTTCAACCCCCAAAAAAAAAAAAAAGAAACTATATATAAATAGATATAATCAAAACCAAAAGTAGTGTTGCAATGTGAAAAGTTTTATTTCGTTTACAATTATTCAATTACAATTACAATTTTACAATTATTGTTTACTTTTAAGTATTGTAAGTATTAAAATACTTAAACCCAACATATCTGGCATGAACCTTTTACTTGCTCAAAATCGCTCGTGTCTTAAAGCCGGGCACATAAGATGGGATGGCCGACTCTGAGCTAACGAACTGTACGCGACGCCTTGTGATCCGCACTTTTGTCCTAGAATCAGTCACCGATCATGGGAGAGAATGCAAACGAGCCTACTTGGAGCACGTGCACAGGAAACTTTTGGCTTAAACCTACGTTAACATTTAAAGGCGCGAATATGCTTTTAAAACACTTATTAAGGTTATTTCTACATTATGCCGGATAGTTCTTGTGCTGGCACGAAAGCCATACCATGCCAGATAGGGCTTCTGTTCACACATTAGAAATGAAAGGCGATTAGTAAGCGGAGCGAACCTGCGCCGCCCTGATCTTGAAAGTGGATCGTCTATCGGATAGGTTTCTTTGTGCAGCTCTTCGTGCCAATGTGAACTGCGTACATAGATACCGGGCCGAAGCATTTCTCATGTCGACATGATAAGCTACAAAGTGAAGTCATGGCCAGAAATCGCGGACACGAAGCCCGCTTAACGACAGCGGCATTCTCCTATTTCGTAGACAAACATGGCGATTTGAATTACAAAGAAATGTATGGAGCGAAAATTATACTTGAGGATAGAAAAAGTTTTTGCATACCTGTAAAATTTGTGAAGTAGGGATCCATTGGGAGAAAGTATTCGTAATCACAACGTATGCGCATTTAGTCTATACAAGTCTGTTAACACCGTCCTTTTGAGGCTGATTGTAGCTGTCATGTCACTCTCTTAATCCTTCTATTTTATGTGGTAAATTGCTTAAATATCAGTCTTTCACCTCAGCTGGTCGCGTTTGTGGCCGATTGTTTGATTTTGTGAAGTTCATTCCTGAAATTCAACCTCGTGGGCCACGTGTATAATTTTCAGCTGAATTCGAAACGATTAACAGCGTCCTTTTTTGTGATAAAAACACGACCGAAACATAATCTAGCTCCATTGGAGTCTCACGCTAAAATCCCCAAAATCCACAGTCTTTAAACAGCGATATTTCGGCCTTCCTTTGCTTAATTTTGCGCCAACACCCATACTCCGAAAGCTTTTTTCATGGCCAACCTTTTGTGGTTGCCTATTTTGGCAATACTTCCAGTCAGCGGTATTAATTTGGCACAAAACAAGCACGTATTCCACGTCTCGATCTGTCCCGAAATATGAGCCCGTCACGCAACTGAAACTCAGCGGTTAAGAGCATTATTAAACGGCCCGAGTGTAAGACGCACGGAATATGATGTCTGTGATTTCTGGCCATGGTGGTAGTTCTAGTAGTACTGAAATACGCTTTCTTCGAGGGGCTTTCCGCAATATAAATTAATGATTTAAATATGAATTTCCTCATATTCCATGAGTGAAACTGACAAAATAGATGGTAAAATAAAGAAAACTCTATGAGTATCTTCCTTACGTTTGTCACACTTTGTCAGTTCGCACTTGATCAGTTTTTCTTAATGGGCCCAATGCAAAAATGCCTGCTGGATTAATATCCCATTATTTTAATTAAAATTAGCCTAAGTTGCCTTGCTTGAGATAATGCGTTCTTTTGAATTTTGTACTGAAGAACGTGGCTAGTCAGCCTGAGGCTAATTTTAATTTAACAAAAGAATATTAATCCAGAAGCCATTTTTGCATCGGGTCTATGCAAGCCCAAAATACATCATTATTTTTAAGGTTGGACTGAGTCACTCCAAATCTTGAAGATTCCAGCTCAAAGGACGACTGCTACAGAACAGATTTGTTAGCCCTCATTTTTTACCCCCCAAAAGACAATGCCTACCTTAACCTGTAACTTTAAATATGTTCTGGCATTCATTGGCCGTTTCTGAGTAATTACGAATGATTAAAGATAATTTGTTGTAGAGTTCTCTCTTGTCGAACCATCCTTTAAATGAGAAGAACAGCGGGCAGAGGCTGACAACTGAAGCCCCGATGATAAGGGCTATAAAAGGCGAGAAAGTATTGTGTTAGACTGAAATGTAGGGACAAGACTCTGAAGCAGTCCACCTAAGAGTTGTGAACTGATCTTGAAAAGCATTTTTTTTTTCAAGTTTAAGCATTCACCACGAAAACAAAACTGTGCTTCTTATTTTCGGGTACTTTCAGTTCAATCACTAAATAGAGAGGAGAAGTCGTAGTTATGTCACGTTGCCATGGTAGCAAAATTTCTGGATGACAACAAACCGAAAAACGCTACTTTTAAAAACTGTTTCAGACTCCATCGATCTCGTTCACTTTCAATTAATTTGTCAAATGTTGGCTAAGTTTTCTGGGGTTGAATTCGAAAGGACCGTATTTAAGTTTAGAAAAAGGAAAAAAAACTAAAGTTGTGTTCACCTGGTTTATAAAGCGGACGCGTAAAACTGGGAAGTTTTACGTCGTAGTCGTGCTACGACGGCTTAGAAATGTAGAAAAAAGCTTGATGCACGTGCAAAGTTGTTGATTTGCTAATATGAATTTATTGCTTTTTTGCCGTTCTTGTTGCTGTCGCTGTCGTCGTTGCTTAAGCTCCCTATTGTTGTGATCCAAAACTTTTTGCGACCATGGAGCCGTGACGTCACACTTCTCTTCTCTATTAAACAAAGCCAAGTAAAAAATCCTTTTTTATGATCATGACGTCAGCTACGAGTCTGTAGATCACAGGACATCAGTCAAAATAACCATAGATTAAGCATTTTGCAAAAGACTAAATAACAACGAAAATCAACAGTTATTTTACAGACCTCTGGAATTTCGTATCTAAGCGAACCCATGGATTTAAGTTAAATCAGTATCAAATTCTTTTTCAGATTGAGTTTCGAAATTGGTACTTAACATTTTCCCCGTATCCACTACAAACAATTTTTCTGGAATTTGACCAAGAGAGAGACACTGCTTCCTCCTGTATGACTAAACATTAGATTAATATGCCCCCGGTAAGCTACTGATTAAACGCTAGGCTCATATTCATTCGTTTGTCATAGGACAGTTAAAGCACAAGATTACAGACATTACAATGAAGCTTTCGCTAGATCTAGCATTCCTCCGATAGGTTCTATTAATGGACTGATCCTTTCAAAAGTAAATAGGCTACTTGCATCAGATTCAAATCTTTAAATTTCTATATATGCATTGAAAACTTGGTAAAGACTCGAAGGTAGTTACTGCTAGTTGGCTTTACTAAAATAATTATTAGAGTATTCATTTCCTTTTTCTTAGAGTGAAACAGTATCAATTAGCTTACAGCCTACTTGTGAAATAGAATCTGTTGGATAACGTTTGACCTGGCTCGACTTTAGGTGGATCGACAGGTGAGGAAGCCTTAACTTACTCGCCTTAGGACACAGAAGTCAGATAAAGATTATAATGCTGGACCTCATGCCCTCCTTAAGACTCACACTCGTCTTTGACTCATTTCTGTACAACAACACGAGCCCATTTTTACGGTGGTTTATTTTACCGTAACTATCAGCTGTAATTATGATTTGTCTTTTCTTTCTAGTATTTAATTTCTTGGGAAAAACGTGCCTGTGGAGCCTTTTGACAAAAGGAAGGCGTTACGGGTTTTTTCAGCATTCAACCAGCAAGTTTTTACTTGACAATTGCGGAATCTGTTTAAGCTCTTAAAATGTAGCTGATCGTATTATCGAACGCATGCTAACGGTAAATTACAAGTACGACTGAAAGAGAGTAAGCTTTTACTGAATTAAGGTATCCTCGAACAATGAGGGAAACAACATATTCAAGGCGAAGAAAAAATCATCGAGTCATTCATCGCAGTTGGTAGCTCAACATTTATAGATTATAGTTAACAAACATACTATACTTGGAGACCTGGAGGTACTAGCCTGTTCCAGGCATTCATATGATGGAGAATGTCGCGAAATTGCTAGTGGAGAGTTTTCTTTGCGTCGCGTGAACCCACCATATGAACGCATGGAAGAGGATACAGAGGCAACCGATTGTCTGCTTCTTAATATGCTTTATGCCTATAATTATCCATTTTTAACTCTTCAGTACGAGTGCGAATATAACGAGAAATGAGCGAACGAAACGAACTCGTAGTCGACGTTCCCGTGGTCAATGCCAAATCTCTCTATTGGCCAGGGGATCTATCGTTCTTTTCGTGAAATTTGTCTGCCGTCTCCGCGATCAGCCGGCCCCCTGATTGTTCAAGGATGCAAGCATACAAACTTTACTGTTACGAAACTATGGTCATCCAGGCTTGAAAAAGGCCGAGGTAAGAAACTAATCACAAGAAAACAGAAAAGACAAGGCTCGTGAGACGCATTTTTGGAATTATCGACAGCGCAAAAAAAAAACTAGCAGTGATCAGTCTTAAGCCCCATTCACACCAGAGCTTAAACATGTTTAAAAGCTGTTTTGTTACACTCGTTTTAATTTTGTTCTTATAAAAGCTGCTACTGTGCTTTTATTGATGGGAAATTTAGCGCAATGTTGTAGCATGTTAAAAATCAATTTAATTCTGTGTAAAAACTTGAATTCTAGTGTTGCGTTACTGTTTGTCATATTTTATTAACCTAGTTTTATTAAACATGTTTATTTAGTTGTTGTGAATGGGGCATTAGTTGTGTTTAACTTTCTAAGTAACTGCTTTTAACACAGTTATGTTGACAAAGACATCACGTGCTATTAGTCCGAATTAGGTAGTACACCAGTGTTATAGCCTGTAACTACAGTATTTAGTCTCAGACTAAATCAGACTCGCCACACAACATTCAAGTCGCCCATTGTCTCCTTCAAATCGTTAAGCAGTGGATAATTTTCTTTGATCCTACTTCTTAGTATTCTTAGGTCAGCCTGGAGGCTATTGATCTCGACCACACATGCTTCATACTTACGGTTGATGGAATAAACTGCCGTCAAGGCCCCTACCGCTGCACCTAGCATGGCTCCTTTAGCAGCAACGTCTACCAATTGTTGACTTCCCATGAGAATCTCCTTAGCTGAAAGGCAAAACACACACTCAGATAAATTACTTTATAAGTTAATCAATTATAAATGTAAAGTAAAAGTCGAAAGCTTAAAAGCGTCCAGATCAACAATAAACATCATGCAATTACTAAATCAATTTGAATTTATTTGGCAATGCCGTGGTAATGTATTACAATAAAAGACAAACATGCGTTCCGTAATATCCATTCCGTATGGGTGATTTGACATAACTATTCTTAATTACACCTTACATTCTTATACTCTACTGGGTGATTTGTATATATTAAACGTGTTTTTTGTATTTATTATGATTGAGAGAAAACTCTTTGAAGCTTCACAGTGTCACAAGATTGAGTTCCACCGCGGTCAAACGTCCGAAGTGTTAACTTTTTCTACATTATTGGTGGGATCTACTTATAAGTGTAAAAATGGGCAAGGATGTATAAATTGATTCGTTGACCTAATTTTCTTTTTGTTTTTCTCAAAGCCTGAAGCTTTTTTCGTCGAAAGCATTTCATGTCCGAGTAAAATCAGTAAATTGACTCCGGCAATCGATGACACCAGCTTCTTCAAACACTCAGAAGTTTATCTTTGTAAACTTTTAAAAAGCGTAGAAAACTAACCGGATGTTTGTAATGCCTTAAAATTTGACAATGAAATTAACAACCTTAGCTTCGAAGTACTTTGCTTAGCTTTTTAAAATTTCTCTCGTGAAGGACTGAGTATGTATTCAACGAAAACTGAATGATCTACTGTCAAGCTGTCCTACGATTTACTCACCTACTCCGCAAGCTGCTCCAGCGCCTGCCCCCGCCAGTGCTGACGCACCTGCAGCTAAAACGCCTTCCTTTGTTAAGTAGGTTTCAAGCTCCGACTGAAGAGACTTCAGGGCTCTATCTGCGTCTTTGTACTTGTCCTCAGTTGTTTTCAAATCTCTTTTGAAATTCCTTATTAGCATTTTCAGCTCAAACTTTTCCTCTGCGTTTAGTTTGTATTTTCGGGGTTTAGATTCCCTGATCTGCGTAAGGATTTGTAAAGAAAGAGAGTAAATTCAGCAAGACTGAATTTCATAAACATACCAGGGTTAAATGGAATGATGACTGCTTGGGTAACATGCATGATCGGTACACCTTCATGTACAAAAGAATCGATTGTTTTATTAATTAACATTTAAATACTTATAAACCTGGAATATTTGGAATAATTTATATTCTTTTTTGAATTTAGGCAATTTTGTGGCGGATACCACAATCGTAGTTTTGCGTAATTTCTCTAATCTTATTATTCATTCAAAATATTTCGTTCTTTCTAATTGACTTCTTTATTACCAGTTAGTGCTGATCAAATTTGGGAGTTGCAGGTAATATTCAATCATTGACGTCAGTCCATGCGACATCAACGATTGGCGAGAAGTGCCACTAACACAGTGGCGTGGCAGCTCAGCTGCTTTGGTCATAATGGAATAAGCGCAGAACTAACAGAATGTTTTAAAGACAGTCGTCCTTCGACGTCGGTGGATAATCCCCTCCTCGATCTACAAAATTCTTCATATCAAAATCAGCCTCTTTCAATAATATTATTAATTATTAAAAACTGAATCATTGGATAATGCAATTCTAGCATTTTGATTGGCTTAGCCGTTATGGTATATGAGCTATTATACCATGCTCTCCATATATGGTCGGTGTACGCGTCAGTTTAAAATTGGAAGCTAGCTGAGATTTTTTTTCGCGAAGGATAGAACGGCGCCCGAAGCAAATCGTTTTAATTCATTTCTTAGAATACTAGAAATGCAATTTCATCGACAGAAAAAAGACAAAACAAACAAAAAAGCCACAAGAGCTTGTTTGAAAGTTTGTCGAAAAACACATGAAAACACATGGAACTAAAGTACCTTGACCAGCTACGAAAGAAGACAAGTGTTGTTTCTTCATGATCGCGAAGCCATTCGCCCATCGAGTCACTCCCCGATAGATAACTGCGGCTTGTTTATCCGACATCAAGAATATGAATCACAAGCAACCAGCTACAAATACAGGCTATGCAGCCATTCACTAGAGCAATCGAGGCGGCAGTATAGCTTCTTTTCTCGTTCAGCAACACCAGCTTGTGGCTTCAAACAACTTCATAACAAGCGACCGAGGTAATAGTTTTTCTCCGTTGTTCTTACTTTTATAACTGCACCGAAAATCTAAATTCACAGTAATTTCGACGGCTGTCACTTAAAAATTTTTTTCCTTCACATTATCTGCCAGGTTTTTTATCTGTTCTGCTGAGTAAAATCCTAGAATCCCGATGAGTTTTTAAAAAACTACTGTTCATCGCTACAATGTTTTGATTTTTCATTCATGCAGCCCAGGCAGTCCGTTCGCGCGTTGACAGTTTTGATAGACGTGTGACATGTGAATAGCGGAAGTCCCTTGCCTTTTCCGGTTTGTTCTAGTCGGGGAGATTCAACGAGATTTTGTGGGCGTTTTTAATAAAACAATTATTCCACTCGCGCTTGTTGGATATGAGATGATTATAGCCAACTCGGCGCTACGCGCCTCGTTGGCTATCTGTCATCTCATATCCAACGCGCCCTCGTGGAATAATTGTTATTTATCATACTCAGCCTAAAAATATCGAAAAAGTGTGTGAAATATTTCTTGTCAAAAGTGCTTTATGTCCTTATTGCTATCATTACATTAATTTGATCTAACATTTATTATGTTGCTGTCTGTATTAAGAAAATCAAAAGGGAATAAACTTATGATCGAGCTGATCGTTTTACATCTTTGGGAGGTTGAGTCTGCCTGACATTTTTGGAAGTGCACAATTGTCAGCCATCCTTGGTACGGAGAATTCGCTGCAGGACGCATCTAATTACGATGGATGAAGTAAACACAAATACCGTAAATGACCTAATAAACGCCCGAGGCGTCTATTTAATTTAGGGGTCCAAGAGGGGGCGTTTAATCTGAATCATAGCTGTAAATGAACAAATAAATAATTCCTTTATTTACCCTCGGCAGTATTTATAGCACTTATGCTAGTGGGGCCGAGCAAATGACTGAAAAATATAATCCAAATTTATCATTCGTTCAAAATATTTCCGCAATTCTGATTGGCTAAAAGAACACGCATAATTCACTATAACCAGTTACTGATGACCAAATTTGAAAGAATTTTGTGTTTAACGAGGAAATGACGTTAAAAATGCAGTCTTCTACAGGTTAATGCACCGTTAACCGAGAAGACCTGGGGACGAGGTTGAGTTGTTTTGGTTGAGAACTTGAAAAATGGCGGACATTTCACTCGTTTTAAGAGTGAGAACTAGGCGAAAAAATAGCTAAAAACATGGCAAGAACAGCAAGAAGACAACTCGAAGGTCGACATCTGCTATTTGGAGAATATTTGCGGAGCTGAACAACCCTAAACGTGCACTATTGAAGACGAACTTAACATCGATGGATCGATGGAGGTAAGCATGTTTAGCCATGTTTTTAAACTAGGAATTATTTTGAATGAATAATAAAACAATTATTGAATTCGGCTTTCGTATCATATGAAGAATTATGGCGATCTCGGAGGGTGCTATCCGCCTCAGTCTACGACCTCGAGGGATAACACCCTCCTCGATCTCCATAATTCTTCATAAGATTCTCAGCCTCATTCATTAATTGTTAAATAATCAAACATAACAGGGTTAAGAATCCCAGCTGGCCGGAGGCAAACCAGCTGGCTATCTGAGCATGGCCGAGGATTTAAACTCGGGACTACCGCGAAAAAATCCAGCTAGCGGTCAGGGCGGGACTTGAACTTGGTCTTGGGGGCCTCCGAATTGCAAGTCCAGCGCTCTAACCACTCGGCCACGCTGCCTCCAACAAGCTCAACCAAACTAATAAGCATTCGGCAAAAATATTATGAGAGTTTAAAAAAGAAAATATCCAGTCCATCAATTGATACACCTAGGCCGTCTAAAGATCCATATCTCTCTATCAAACCCCAACATCGATGTCAGAATCTTCGGTCAGGGTTACTTTTAATTGTTGCCATCGTTAGTCTATCCTTACTCTTAACTTGACGTTAAACAAGATAAAATACGAAAGCCTTTTTAACCAAACAACAAACCGAATGAATGGAATGATTTTGCTCATTTGGAGTAATCCAGATAAGGGGCCTCTTTAAGACAGGGGCCATTTATATTATTAGAGAGGGGCGTCCAATACAATTTCAACAGCGTAGAGGGGGGCGTTTATTAGATAAGAGGCGTTTGTTTGGAAGTGGGCGTTTATTAGGTCATTTACGGTACACACACCTCACATACTCACGAAGATGAATTTTCCCATAGCTTTTCCTGAACTTGAATACAGTCCTTTAGATTCGTTTAACAAAATGAGAATTCGCCCTCTTTTGACAAAAATATCCAGCTCACCGGAATAATCTCGGTTTGAAGGGTTTAAGCAAAAAGTACTGAGAAAATAATTAAAGTTCTGATAAAAAGAATAGGTGTCACCTAAAACTGGAAACAAAGGGACGGCAACTTCCTGTTACCTACCCTTTCAAGCGCCTTTCGAAGGCTGACGTGGCATTATGACAGCGCGGCAAAGATAAGTTGTAGAGCTCATTAAGTACGTGATAAATATTTAACGCAAAGTCTTTAAGAAAAGTACTTGCCGTTGTCCATATCTCTGTCGCTATATCATCTAACTCCTGGAGCTTTTTTTCCATGGACTCAAAATAATTTCTTATCTCCCTGACATAGGGATGTAATCTTTTAGGTAGTTCCTCTTTCTCCATTTCCTGGATCGTTTTTTTGAGATTTGCGTAGCAACATTTCAGCAGCATGAAACCACCACACAGCACAGAGTAGCACAGGTTTTGTATGAAACCATCTTCCAAGTTGTGCTTTAGAACGTCTTGGAAGCCTTCCTTTATGTTGCCCAAGACCTCAAATGTGTTGGTGAATTCTTGCCCCATTCCACTAACGATCTTTGCTGCAGACTCCAGGGTATTTTCAATTTCCATTGTCTTACCTAATGTGTCCTGCAAAAAGGCAAGAGTAAACGGTACTATAAGCTTTATCATATTAAAAAATAAACAATTTTGATTTCGTTCGGTAAAAAGGATGTCGTTTGCTCAGAATATCGTAGGTTGTGTCAAGGCAGATCATTGTAACATTTTGATTGTCGGAAAATATATGTAGGGCATAAATATCTACCCGTGCGGGTTAGCCCAAGTTTGATATATTAAAATTCTAACAAGACTCGAGGCTTTATGGCCATATTTCTATATTTGGTTTAGTTGTTTTTGTTGTTTTTGTGCTTAAATCTCTTACTGGAATTGCAAGACGATGGAGTCGCGAAAAAGTAAAGCCTCTGAGTCATGCTAGAATTTTTTTGTTTATTGAACGTGGGCTATTCGACAAGGGAAGCACGGGAGCAAACTAATCGCCGCCCGCCCATGCACCGCTGAAACTGGATTCCTTGTTGTATGCCTGTGCCACTAATAAAACTTTCAAAATATTTTGCTTATAAAATCACTTTTTGCCTGAAGACACCTTACTTTTTTTAAAAAATAACTAAATAGCTTGTGGACGTGATATGGACATTTAATTTTATCAGTAACACGGCGTCCATGAATAAAGAGCGTTTCTAAGTGACGTTATAGCGCTCTATAGTTGCGCAGATGGAAATTCAACATCTGCTTCTCTTCGTAGATTCCAGCTTTAAATTCTTTATTTCCTAGTTATATACTGCCACTTAATTTACTTTTGTCTTAGAACTGTGCTTTCTTTATTTAGTCTATTGGGATAAGTGTGGTTTCTTGGAATAAGACCTTGACAAATGTTTCGCATCACTCGATTGATGCATGATTTTCAAATTTCCAGAGTGCAGCGATTTCCAAAATATAACCATACATGTCAGAGAAATTATAATTTTCAATTTTAAAATGCTGACTAAAAACTCATAAAATAGGATTTCCGCGTTGTGTTGACAAGAACGTTTACAAATATATCCCTGAGAAATAGTGATTTCAAGTAAATATTCCGTTGATCAGTTGTAACAAAAATTCGCGGTTAGAAATAACAAGAACTTAAGTGGGATATTAAAAGTCTGAAGCTCCACACATGCTACTGTTAGATACTGAGAATAACACAAGTGACATCTTAAAATATATAATTCGTTCATTGTGTTAGTTTGAACCGGTTTTCAGCCTTTGGACGGAATGCAATTTCTTTGAAGTGAATCTTGTGTATGAACACCTCCAGTTTCCTTGAATGAGTGATTAGGGAACCAATACTAGCGGCTAAACAGCTTACTCTATAAAAGGCCTCCTTTAGATTTTTTTATTCGAATTGAACCATTTCATAATTTTTCTAAACCTTACGAACATACAGGCGGCTAGCGGAGGTAAACCTCTGGAAAAAAAGACTACCAATTCCGAGAATCATGGCCTTCGTAAGTAAAATAGTTAAAAGTAAATCGCTGCTTTTTCCGCGGTTTAATCATTGGTAAAGAGAGAAACAGTCTAAAAACTGTATGAGATCATGTCAGTCATGTTCAATGGTCTGAACATTCCTAGGGCAGTGGATTTTGAAAAGAAAAATGTTTAAGAGGGAAGGTAATTCATGTTAGGATTTGTATCACGAGAAAAAAGGCCGAAACAACCCTCTTATGAATATTCGTTATTTTACACTATCGCTTGTTGATATCTCAGGGGCACCCAACGTCGGTTTCCTCCTAAAAACATTGAAAACACTTTTTGGGCTATGCAGAGTACTTTGAGATGTCTAGAAATGCATTCTATAAACGGGGCTATCAGATTTGTATCTGTTCGGTCATCCTAGGAGAACTTGAGCCTTCGAAATTCAGTAAAGGGGTCTCAGTATTATCAGTTTCCCTCCAAATTTTAGGTATTACGTCAGGAAGTGAAACATTTTTCAGATTCTTCTCTCCATCGCATTTTTCAATTCGAAAATTTTAGGTTTCCATTTTTCTACAAAAAATAACCTAACTTGGGAAGTGAAATGTGAAAATTACAGGTGTGTAAACTTCAGAAAATCGTAGGGAATTTATTAGATAAGCTTCGAATATTGTACATGAATGGAACGGTCACGTACAAATTTTTAGGCGTTCTCAAGTAATAGAAAGTCCTAGGCAATATTTACTTCTCCGAACAGATATTTTACAGAAATCAGTCGTTGGTTGCCGCTGGTATCTCTCTTCTATGCCTTTCTACAGCAAAGGAAACGGACTCTCAGATCACTGTTCTCACGGACGAATAACAGTTTTCTATCCAGCGCCGAAAAAAGCAAAGCGGGTCACCTGCAGTTATGTATTATATTGTGATCAGGATGTACGAGAGGTCCGGAGAACTAAATATTTCTTCGTTTGTTAACCTGCAGTCCAGTTTAAAATCATTGATCGTTTTCGTGTTGGATTTTAGTGATCTAGTAATTCCTGAGAGAGGTCCAAAGTATCCTAATCAAGTACTGATTCATGTCCCTCTGTGATACACTATAGTTCGCCTTATAAACTCTACCTCAGTGTTTGTGGATGCAATTTAAATTTCAGTTTTAATTTCATCTTAGAGAATCGCGAATTTGAGAAGTGAGACTGCTACCAACAAATAGCCCTTTTAATTAGTTGATTAATGGTATGCTACTGAGTGAAGAATAAATCACGACACTCTTATCTCATAGTTTCGAAGAGAGAAACGAGACTTTTACTTGCATTAATAAAAAAAATGTTGCATATCGAGTCGTTTTTTTTTTTCAAGTCGGTGACGACTTGCTTGACTAAAGTTATCTAACTGTTGAGAACATTAGGGCCATTTATACGAGGAAAATTAAGACGCGTCTTAAATAAGACGCGAACTTTCCGTATAAACGGCATATTTCGTCTAAAATAAAACGCGGCTTAGCTAAGACGCGTCTTATTAGATGAGACATGCTCGTATAAATGGTACAGTTTGCGTCTTATTTAAGACGCGTCTTATGTAAGACGCGTCTTATTTTTCCTCGTATAAATGGCCCTATTGTTTCGTCGAGTAATTAGCAATGGCCACAGATGGAACCGAACCGAAGCTGTTATTGTATTCGAAATTCATGCATAGAGGCGTGGAGAAATAAAGATATCTATTCATTTGGTTATAACCAGTAAAAACCAGTGAAATCAATAAATTGTTTCGTCGACTTCCAATTTTCAGCCATTGGCCATCATTCAATAGTGACGCGAGTGCTGTGTACATTATGATTCTGTAAATGTCTTCGATAAAACTCGTTGCTGAGATCCTCGCTTGATCCTCAGAAATTGTCTCTGTTGAAACTACTTTCAGTTTCAAAGTAGTCAAAGAGGATTATTCAAGAATTTTAAAGGAAAAAGTGGTTTCCGTTGGCAATACCGTGCATGGCCACTGAGTAACGGTTACGAAATAACTTCCTTTTTGGTTACTCACGATTTCAAGTTCAAAGTCGAGCCATTGCAGCTTATGCTAGCGAGGACGACCACGAATTCTTGGCGAGGAACGCGAAATCAAAGTGGCCAATCGCCCTTTCAAGAAGGTAGTAATAAGGCGATTTAAAGTTATGTTGAATTTGCTAGTTTGAACTCATCATCATCACATCAAGTCGCGGTTGTCTGTATTGAGCCTAACATAAGATTTGAGTCTACGTTTAACTCACAAATTTGCAAATGATATCTGTTTGAAGAAATTAATCTCCATTCTGGAACTTTTGCCTCTGAAAAAAAAAAAAACATTTTCTACGTGGCATTTCCTGTAGCAGGGACCACCATAAAATAATATTATGCAACTCACCTCAGCTGGATAACGAGATTGTTCCCCCAAAGGGAAAATGCTTTTACTGTTATGAAAGAATCAACGGCAACCATTTCCTCCAGGTTCAATTCTAGTTTCAGAGTGTACTGAACGAAAAGAAGCCGGAGTCGCACAGACAACGCAGAAATAAGCATAATTGCTAGAGCTGAAAATACGGAGCTCCCAGCGTGAGAGATGAAGACCGCGTTTCTTCGGTTCGAATATTTTCCTCATGGACCACTCGATCTTTAATCAGTTTCACAACGTCAGGCTAAAGTGCATTACATAAAGATAATCGGACTGAAATATAGAAAAGAACGAATATCGTTCACAGATGGAGTGAGTATCAAAGACGGCTTACAACAAGGCCGCCCTAGCTGATTATAAGTATAGCGCGCAATGAAGCCACGAGGTAATCCCTCTTATCTAACATTTACCAAAAAACAGCAAAAAGGATTTACTTGGATGAATAAGAGATCTTCTTTTCTGAGTCTTTCTCACCCTTTCAAGCCATTGTCGACTGGCCAGCTCATAAAACAACTGTCTAAGGTTACCTAACTTTCAGAACATTAATGTTTCGTCGATTACCAATGGCGATGGAACCGAATTAAAGCTATGTCAGTAGGCCAAAAACATGCATTTAACCGCTTGGTAATAAATAGTAGGGATTGAAATTATCAAATTGTTCACGTCACCATTGGCCATTCAAGTGACTTCAGTAAATCAGCTGTTGTTGAGGAAAGCAAACTTGAACACCGTTCTCTGATGGCCATATAGTGTAACACCAGCCGTTTACTATATCAAGGTGGTTGTCTTTCATCCTCTGAAATTGTCTCTGTTCAAACTGCTTTCAGTTTCAAACTATCCTTAGCATCTAGGTAAATCAGAAGTTCATTCTTTGGCTTTTTGTGGCCTGATAGTTTTAATAAGAAAAAAATTGCTTTCCTTACGATTTCAAGTTCAAATGGAGTATCGCAAAATAATATAAACTAGCAAATGCGTGGCGACTACGAATTGGCGTGCAAGAAGCATGAGTTCAAGACTAACAGGTCTCGTTTACAAGAAGGCGGAAATTAGCTAATTCAAAGTTTGAATTTAATCTTTAATTTAAACTCATCATCATCACTTAGAATTCGCGGTTATCTGATTTGTGCGTAGATACCATTTGGGTCTATAGTTCAGTTCGTGATTTTGGAACTTTTACCAGTTCGAAAAAATTGCATTTTCCTCGTGGCGTGTTCTTCAGTATATAGTAGAACGCCATGCAA